AAAATAATAACCGTCAGAATACTAAAATAATAAAATAATCAATTTATGTCGGTTATAACCGCCACCAGTAACTTAAAAACCGCCATAATCTGTCAAAAATATTTTTTTTTTAAATTCAAAAATACTGTCGGTTATAACCGACAGGAATTTTATAATATCCGCCAGTAATTATCCGTCAGAAATTTATGTCGGATATAACCGACAGGATTTTTCTAATATCCGTCACTAATTAAATAATGTGTCGGATATAATTTATCCGACAGTATTTTTCTAAATCCGCCACTATCATCTGCCACCTAAAACTAATATTGTAGTAGTGCCTATTTATAGGATTGCATGCTTGAGGATCAAGCACCACGACCACTCCTCATTTTCCACTTCTTTAGCGGTTATCCGTCATCTCCCTGCATGCTTTGGGAACAAGTGCCATAACCTGTCGTCCTCTCCCACTTCACCTCCGTAGTGGGGTGGTTATCTAGGCATGTCACTTGCGCCCGTACATTTCTCGTGGGCTTTTTATCATGCACAACACTTTCTCCTTGGATGGTCTTGGCCCATGAATCGAAACCGAATTTTATCCCCCCACAGGCACCCATTTTGCTTCCTGTTGGTGCATTGTTTTGACATGTTGGTTTCTGTGCTAGACCCGTGGTTTTTTATCCCTTTTTTGACCCTTGGTAAGAGACTTGCCCGCCGGATTATATTATCTGCATGGCCAATGAGAGTGGGCTTAACCTCACAATGGACTAGCAATAATGTGGTTCAAATTCGTCTTTAGCTAGAATCGAACTTATGACATCTCACTTACAAGTGAAGAAGAATAACACTAGACCATAATACAATTAATTATGCAAGAAATCATGTTTTTGGAGTTCTATTAATTCACAATATGCTAGACACGTACAAAATGCCTGACATAGATGCACAAGTTATTGTATTCGGATTACTATCTCTTCTCAATCAAGTGCTTAAAACGCTATGATATTCGCGCTCTTGCTCATCTTTATTTGTTTGGAATTCAAACTCCAAGTTGTTTGTTTGTATGGAAGATGAAGATAAAGGAGAAATATTCACACAAATTTGAAGTGACTATAAGAGTTGTTGATGCTCAACTCAGTTAATTCTGATGAGTTCGTATGCTTGTATTTATAGCGACATTTACATCAGTGAGTTACAAGAAGAACTTATCACAAATAACAATTCTATAAATCCCCAAATATAGGAGATAATACAAGAGAGCTTATCAGATGCAGGGTTGAAAGAAATCACAACTCTTTGCAGCGGCATCTTCAGTGAAGGAGTCGCAGCAAACAACCTTGTGGATAAGGATTTGAAAACTATGCCCTATCATAAGGATGGATATCTCCACATTATCTCTAATTTATTCCCTCACTCTAGTGTTAATACATCTTTGTATACAAACAAAACTTGTGCAAAAGAGGTAGACGTCCAAAACAACATTGAACGCAATTATTTGGATGGAAAACTAAATAGATTTAGGATGAGATGACAAATTAATGATTTTGAATGATTTGATATGACAAATTGCTTAAAATTTTAATTTATATAAAAAATTAAAAATAAGAGAGTTTTAATAAAACATTTCCTATTCCTTTGACCCCAACAAGTCACTTCTGGTACTATTCACTAAAAACAATTTTTTGTCCTTTTGACTAAAACTCAAAGTTTTCAAGCTCTTTTCATTAGTTTTCCTAAAAATAATGCATAAGTTCATAATGACATTTCAAAAAAAAATCTAAAAACTAAAAAAAATAAGGAATAAAAAAAATACAAAAGCTAAAAACAAAAGTTGAAAGGCAAGCGAATTGATGATACATCTAATCTTTGCAAGTTTTTGAAGACTAAATGACATAAAAGTAATGATTTATAATTCAATATATTCTTAATTACAAAACCCATAAGACGTGCTTCGCCTTCTTATTGATGGGTGATACCATCATTTAGTTTGCAAATTTTTTCTTCAAACTTAGTCTTTCTAGCATTACTTCTTTGAACTTATGGAGCGGAGTGCAGTGGCTTTGCTAGAGCTAGCAAATATATACTATTCCCTTCCTACCTCTTCCTCTTCCCATGTCCCTGCCTTTCTGTATCGTATTTTTTCCCTTATGAAACCCCAATCTAATGAAAAAATAACTTCACCTCCAATATTTTTTCATGACTTCCTTTTGATGATCTAACACCATGGTGGAGAACGTAAATTTGACCGGAATATGCACCAATTCATTAGCCTAAGAATCAACCATTAAAACTTTCATCATGCGGAGTTCACTTGAGATCAAATGCTAGATGTTACCAAAAATTTCCCATCTTTTATACATAAAGTGGGGTGAAATGCCATTTTCTCAATAGAAATAAGCTTTTCTCCCCTCTTACAAATCTATAAAAAAAATGGTGGAATAAAAATTAAGGTTAATATATCACTTCAACTCTCTGTGTTTATTCACTTATGAGGTGGGTAGATTTGAAATGTTGATTATACTTTAAAAGTGAAACATAAACGACAAAAAGTTAATGTGTAAGACGTGACAAAATAGTAAAATTGAAGTCTTATACTTGAGCATCCAATTTTTATGGAAGATACAATTTGACACTCCAAATATATCAATTACATTATACCTTGCTGACAATCATTGAACTTAGAGGCCAAAGAAACCCTTATTCAGTCAAAATGCAATCAAAACCCTTAATTCCAATGTCAAAAAGTCCATTTAAATACCAATATATTGTAATACACAAATCTATAAAATTTGTTGATGGAAACACCAAAATCAGGTTGAATTTTGGACTAACGTAATCCGACCGTAAATCATAACATATGCCCAAGAACAAAACGATTTATAAATCGTGGTTTACCTCAAGTTGAAAAGTTACGTCCACAACTGGTTGTCGATCCGGTTTCACCATATAAAATGAAGAGCTAGATTGTTTATTGCTAGATATGCTTAATGGTTTGCCATCTTTTCTATACTCCCTAAAGTGGGTGTAAATGCCATTTTTTATAGAATAAGAGATTTTTCTCCCCTCTTACATATATCGTATGTTAATAGTGAGACTCATGAATATTAAGGTCTAATATATAATAATACAAAGTTTAATTGTCGAAGTGTGGTTCTTTCAACTATGAAAATATTATAGGTTAGGAAAAAATAAGCACAACTTACTGAAAACAAACTTTTTAAAATGTGAATTGGAAAGCATTAATAAATAATTAACCAAAAGGAAGAAAAAGTTGCAAAAAGGTACAATGCAACATGACTACATGTTTTTTTATGTTGGACCTCCAAGAAACACCATTACCAGAGGACCGTACTCCTCAGTGATATCTTTTAGCCTTATTATCATCAATGCCAACCCTAATTATGAAGTCCTAACTCATCTTTACCCTTTTCTCTATATGCTGACAAGGACAAATTTGATGAGAGAGATTAAAAGGTCGAAAAAAGACGAGAGAGATGAGGAGAAGAAAATGTCCAAAAAACAAGAAAGAGGGGTTGGTTTTTTTCACAAAAAAAAAAAAAAAAAAAAAAAAAAAAAAAAAATCCCTTTAAAATATTGTTAACAATAATGTTGATAGATTTTTTTTCAGAGAATCAAATAATTTAAGTAAACAAACTCAAAGATCATGTTTATGAATTTTCAATTGTGGGGACAAAAGTGAGAAATGCCAACAAACTAATGGGCATAGAGAAATAAAAAAGTTAAAAACTTTAACGCTTACGTTCTCCTGGAACTCGATTTTAATCTTACTTTGCTCCATGTAATTCAAAAGTCGTTAATTTATTCCCTGAAACTCATAGTTCGCTCCACTTTACCCCTGGAACTTGATTTGATCTTTTTTGCCTCTGATTTATTTCTTGAAAGCCGCCTATATAAATCTCAAAATTTGCTTCACATTACCTTAGATATGCTAGTTTCTTATGTGGATTTGATTTGGGTGTGCCTGCTAATCAGTTTCTTTATTTATTTATTTTTTTCATCTCTTCAATTTCTTTTAAGTTTAATATTATCTGATTATTGAATATTAACGCAAAATGGATATTTAGATTATTTATTGCACATGTGGCATAGTCTTATTAAATGTTGGGTGTCATGTATCTTTTAGGAGGCAACCTATAAGTTTTAAGTAGAAAAGAGAAAAGAAAATCTATAAATTAAAGTGGAATAAATTTTGAATTTCAAAAAGTAAAATGATAACTTAAATAAAGTTATAAGGGTCAAAATATAATCAAATGCAATTTCAAAAGGCGTAGTTAAAACTTAAAAATATGTCAAACTTTAAAAGGAAACTTTGAACTTTAAAGGTAATAAAAATACTTTATTGCTTATCTCTTTTACTAAATCCTTTTTATTGCTTAACGAGGAAGCTCAAGTATCAGACTTTTGTTATCAGAAGTCGATCATGAGTTAAACATCGAATATGATGAAAAAATATCGTTATATATATATATAAATCATAAGTAGATGTGGCCGGGGGATTTCGTTCGTTTTCGTTTACTTTCAGGGCGCCAAAACTTTAAAGCGGAGAAAATAATATCGCAGTTCTCTACGTTTTGGTCGCGGTGGTTCTCGGATTCATGACCTTTGCTTGTTTCAGTATTCTCAGCAATCTATTGAATTAAAGGTAAGAAAACTAACAACTTTTTTTGTTTTCTTCTTGTTTTAAGACGACTAAAGGTAAGGCCTTTTGAATCCCTCTCTCATGCTTTTACCTTCTCTTTTTAAATTTCACGTTTAACGTTGCCTTGCCTGAAATGATGCTTTAGAAACGTAGCTATCAACCGTCGGTGAACTGGTGCACTATTTGACCTGCTAATTTTATTTAAGCGGGGCGTTGCAAGTTAAATAGGTGAGCTTCAGTTTGGAAATTAGAGTCATAATTCTGTAAATTTTCCACCTTTGCCATGGGGCTTTAAGCAGAAGTAAGATCTCTTTAATTTGCCGGGGCCATCGTCGTAAAATAATTAGCTGGAACTCCTGCTTATTTTGATTTCATCGTTTAAATGCGTTGCTTCAGTTAACCGCTGCTTATTTGAAATGGGATGCTTTAGAAACAGTAGAGAAGATCAACCGTCGGTGATTTGTATACCTATTTGCTTAAAGGCTGCATAAATTGATGAATACCTTTAAAAATTACTAGTGTAATTTTATTTAAAACCATGGGGCGTGCACCCTCTCTTTAGTCTTTACTGCTCATAGATTGGACCGGTCGTGTATCTCAAACCGACGTTTGGTTCGCAGATTAGAGTCATGTGAATCGAGATACCATTACAAAGAAAGTTGGTTCCACCCTAAAATCAATTGGCAACATGAGTAGTCTAACTTTTATAAGCCTTGAAAGTTTCTCTTTTCACCGATATGTGACTCTTTTACCTTCACTTCTCACACACCCCATTACATGCAACAAAATTTTCAAGCCAAACACGTAGGCAACATGAATTGGGTGAGGTGTGGCCGTTAGACTTCACATATAGGCCAACTTGCTCTTACCAATATAATGCATTTACTGGAAGAGTATTACTGGAAAACTTACATATTTTGGTTCACATGACAATGTAAACCAAACATGGGAACGGAAGAAAACGGTATTTCATGGCCCTATTTCCCAGCATTTCCAAACACAGGACAGGAAGCTTCATTCCCACCAAGAGTTGTTCTTTCATCCATTTACTCCCTCTTTTCATGCTATTGTCATTTGATGATAAGCTATTTATTTCATTTCTTTACAATTTCATTGCCGCTTTTATTTGTGAAACCTTACTTCACAACTTGAAGACATAGCCGGGGATTGTACTTACCCAGGCATTCTTCATTCAACACGCTTTGCGATAAATTTTCTCCTTGTTTTGTGTTCTTCCAGTTCCTGAGTTGAGAATGAGTGGAAAAGAAGGCCACGCAATTGGAATCGATCTGGGGACAACGTATTCTTGTGTAGCAGTGTGGCGATATGATCATATTGAAATTATAGTGAATGGTCAGGGCAACAGAACAACTCCGTCTTATGTTGCTTTCACTGATACTGAAAGGTTAATCGGTGATGCAGCATATAACCAGGTCATTAGAAACCCCTCAAACTCAATCTTTGGTAAGGCTAATCTTCTCACATCTACATATATACCAATAGACAGCTTTAATTTCTTTCTCAAACCCTTCGAGGCGCCAAGTGTTTGCACTCTTATAAACTATTTTGTGTTTTTTATTTTTTTGTTTTTTGTTTTTTTATCATCATTTTTTTCATTAGCTAAGTGTTGACTTTTCTTAACCTAAGCTTTGTGATCGTACTAATGGGTGCTTAATGCTAAGGTTGGGTGAGGTATTTTCAAGTCTCGAGGGTCTGAGGATAAGTTAGCAAGGAATGGATCTCCAACTGATAGACAGGAGGGATTAAAAAAGCACCATATGAGCATTAGAAAGCAATGTGAGAGAGATTTGTCATTTACAAGGTGTTTATAAATCCCTCTTACAAACCTTTGTAATGCTCACATGATGCATTTCTAATCCTTCCTAACGTTTAGTGATCTATCCGTTACTAATATGACATCAATATTGTGGGATCTGGAAGTCCCTCACCCCAATATATCCTATGGGTATTTCTTGGGTAGTTACAGACTTACATTACCCAAATTAACTAGTTTTTGCATTTTAATGAGATTGGTTATGTAAAAGACATAATTAAATGATTTAGTTACAGAATGACATTATATAACTATGATAACAGCATCTTTTTAGTTACAATCCAGTCGGACTGAATGAGAAAACCTGGAGTAAGTGAAAAAATTTTCATGTTATTACTTGACATTTACAAATAAATAGAGATTAGCTAACTGAAATTTTTGTTTATATTACTCCATTGTTTGCAATCTTTCCACTTTATTTGATTGAGTTTCTAAGCTTGGCATTCATTTTACAGATGCAAAGCGATTAATTGGAAGGAGATTTGCTGACGCTTCTGTTCAAAATGATTTGAAGCTCTGGCCATTCAAGGTCACTGAAGGTCCTGATCACAAGCCCATGGTTGTGGTTACCCACAAGGGTCAAGAGAAACAGTTTGCTGCTGAAGAAATCTCATCTATGGTTCTCACAAAGATGCGGGAGATTGCTGAGGCCTACCTCGGCTCGGGTGTGAAGAAAGCAGTTATTACTGTCCCTGCTTACTTTACTGACTCACAACGTCAGGCTACAAAATGTGCTGGTGTCACTGCTGGCTTAGAGGTGATGCGAATCATCAATGAACCAACTGCAGCCGCCATTGCTTATGGAATTGACAATAAGGCTGGTTGGTATAGCAAGAGAAATGTTATGATATTTGACTTGGGTGGTGGTACTTTAGATGTGTCACTGCTTACCATAAGTTCTGGTGACTTTGAAGTAAAGGCGACAGCTGGAAATACTCACCTTGGTGGTGAAGATTTTGATAACAATATGGTGAATCACTGTGTCGAGAAGTTTAAGAAGAAGCATAGTTTGGACGTCAGTGGAAACCCTAGAGCTCTTAGGAGGTTAAAAAATGAATGTGAGAAGGCGAAGAGGAGACTTTCGTTTACGTCTGCGACAGATATTGAAATTGACTGTTTGTATCAGGGTGTGGATTTTTATACAACTTTTACCCGTGCAAAATTTGAACAATTAAACATGGATTTCTTCAACAAGTGCATGGAGTGCCTTCGCCCATGAGCGGTAGGTCTCGGGTTCGAGACTTGGGAGCAGCCTCTCCATAAAATGGGGGTAAGGCTAGCCGACATTTACCTCTCCCAGACCCTGCGTAAAGCGGGAGCCTTGTGCACTGGGTACGACCTTTTTAAACATGGATTTCTTCAACAAGTGCATGGAGCCTGTGGAGAAATGTTTGGAGGATGCCAAAATGGACACAAGCGATGTCGATGATGTTGTTCTAGTTGGCGGCTCCTCTAGAATTCCCAAGGTACAGGAGCTATTACACAACGTGTTCATCGGCAAGGAGCTGTCCAATGGCATTAATCCGGATGAGGCTGTGGCATATGGTGCTGCTGTTCAAGCTGCTGTCTTGAATGGTAATCAAAGTTTGAAGCTTCAAGACTTCACTCTCTTCGATGTCATTCCTATGTCACTTGGGACAGAGTATGGTGACGAACAGCTCATGCATGTTATGATCCCAAGAAACACCAAAATTCCCACCAAGAAGAACCATACTTTTGTAACTGGTTACGACAACCAAAGTTCTGTCCCCTGTGGAGTTTACGAGGGTGAGAATGAGCTAACCAAAGATAATAATTATTTGGGTGGATTTTACATCGGTGACATTCCTCCAGCTCCTAAGGGTGTTTCTGAAGTAGATGTTTGCTTTTCTATTGATGAAAATGGAATCCTGAATGTTTCTGCTGAGGTCGTGTCCACCGGCCAGAAGAAAGAGATTGCAATCAAAAGATGAACTTTGGGAATTTACAGGATGAAGTAATGACATATGATTGTAGCATACCGAAGTTGAAAATACATACTTCGGTTGTGAAATCAATTTGCTAGTGGTTTACTTGTAGTTTTTCGTCATTTGGTTTAGTCATTCCATGTTTGTTAAGAATCTGCTGGTGTGTGGTAGTCGATGGTCACCCATTTTGCTTCTTGTTGGTGCATTGTTTTGACATGTTGGTCTTCTTTGCTAGACTCTTGGTTTTTATCCCTGTTTTGGTAGCAGACTTGCCTGCTGGATTAGTATAATTAATTATGCAAGAAATCATGTTTTTGGAGTTCTATTAATTTTTTTTTTTTTTTTTTTTTGTCATTAGTTAAGCTTGGGGGTGGGGGGAATCGAACTTGGGTGAGGTGGGAGTTTCTTTGGCTCTAGTGCCACTGCAACTAGGCCCCCATCCTCTTGGAGTTCTATTAATTCACTAGACCACAATACTCTAGACATATACAAAAATGCCTAACGTAGATGCACACGTTATCGTATTCCGATTGCTAAATCTTCTCTATCAAGTGCTTAAAATGATATAATATTCGTACTCTTGCTCATCTTAATTTGATTGGAATTCAAACTTCAAGTTGTTTGCTCTCTAAATTCGCCATGGGCCTCACGGGCATGCTGGGAATTTACTATAACATGAAATAGGTGGGTGCGGGCGTGCCACTAGTAGACGGGATCTAAATGATTGAGGTTGTACCTGAATTTGACTTCAAACCAAGAGATTGTATCATTGAGTGGGAGTGGCTCAAATGAAGGTTCTTTGTTTGCCTTAAAGATAAGGATTTTACTTATATGGAACTTATATGGAGAGATGCAATAATATGTAAATGGCAGGGTTGCTGGAAATGTAAATGACAGAGGAGAGTGAATGATTAATATTGTAAATTGCTTATAAATTAAATGACTGGGAATGAGTTGTACATGAACTACAAATGAGATCGATACTACTAGTGAGCAGTAGAGCTAATAAACAAGGAAAGCAATGGATGCTTGGCTAAAGCTAAATGTCTGCAAGGAAGCTGATGAGCTAATTTGAGTAGAGTTGATTGATTGATTATTTGAGTGTCCATAATCATTTTGCCTTTGCTTCTTTATAAGAGATCTGAAAGAGCCCCATCTGGTGAGAACAATGGACCTGCCCGAAAGAAACTCCTATGCAGCTTGCATTATGAAATAATATTAAAATAAGCAAGTTTGTATCTCGACCACATGCTTTCACCACATGTCTCCACCATTTGCAATAAACTAACATTTAAAAGAAGTAAGGTGACTTCTTTCACATGTTCTCTGCAAGAATGTTTGTGTGCCTTTCCAATCCACTTGAAAGCATGCAATTGTTTTGATTAAAGAAAACTCTTGACAAACCTCCACCACCAAAACAAAAGGGAAAAGCAATATTATAATGTTTAAATCATCTCACTTGCAGCCAAATATCTCTCAAAGTTCAATGTTTTGTCCCATCATCTTCCAAATGTCATATTTTCCATATTTAGCCCGAATGACACATTTTAGGTGTAAACACAAGTTGTTTGTTTTTTTAGAAGATGAAGGATGGATATCTCCACATGCATGGTTTCTTTCCGTCCCTTTTGCTTTTCGTGAAAGACAACCGTGGCAGTACTGGAGATTATCGTGCTTCTGCTAATGGCTTTCCCACATTGGATTGCTGTGGTGAATGAAGTATCCATTTTCTTCAAATTCTGAGCATGCTCGAGTATATACTTCGCCAACTCTATTTCATTTTCCCCCTTGGAAAGCTCTGTAGTTGCCTCCTTGAGTTGATGAAGAAAAGCAAGTTTCTGGGATTTCCAGTATCCCATATCAAATGCGGAGGCCTAGAAAGGAAACAATGAAATCAATTGAATTCTTTTTTTTTTTTTTTTTTTTTTTTTTTTTTTTTTCAGATACGATGAGGAGAAGTTAGAAATGGTTTATTCAACCATTCTCCTGATTGATGCAAGAAATTTCGAAAATCGTAAAATGTGCTTCATGAGTGTGTGCAAGAGAGAGCGATAGAGGCGCAACATACGTACAGTAATATCATTTTCTTCCACTTTGGAACCGTTTAAGGATAATCTACCAGTCTGTCTTTTGGTACTTCTTGATGGATCAGATGTTATGCACAAAGTATTCAAAATAGTCATTCATCTCAGAAGAGGTAACATTGACGAGACTAGGCCCTCGTTCAAGCTCGTAATTTGCGTACCTGATCTAATGGTATGATTAAACAAACTCAAGAACTGCAGGTTTGTATCTTTGACAAGAGGGTTGTTTCACATCAACTTTGCATACCCAAGAAGACTTGGGTTGCGTATATTTATAGCCAACATACAGAACATACAGATTACATTTAGGGTTTGAAAACCCTAGTTACATAAAGTCCTAAGCCTATCCAACTCCGAAGAGAGAGGTCGTTGAAACCAAATACAAGACTTCAAACAAACAGTCTTTGAAACCAAATACAAGACTCCACACAAACTAACGACTTGGTCTAACATCCCCCCGCAAGCTGAGAGGACGAGGAATAACTGGAAGCTTGGAAACCAGGAGTTTGAACCGTGAGGAAGACAGCCCTTTCGTGAACAGATCAGCCACCTAATCGCGAGAGCAGATAAAATTAACAAGAAGCTCACCACGAACCACTTTCTCCCGAACATAATGATAATCAACCTCCAAATGTTTCGTTCGTGAGTGGAAAACAGGATTGGACGCCAATGCAATGGAGGAGACATTATCACACCAGATTTGAGGACGAAGAAGAGGGAGTTGTAAGTCACGAAACAAAGACCGGAGCCATGATATTTCAGCAGCAGTGTAGGCAAGTTGCCTATATTCAGCTTCCGTGCTTGATCGGGAAACTGTTTTCTGTTTCTTGGAGCTCCACGAAATCAAGTTGGAGCCCAGATATATACCAAAACCCCCTGTGGAGTGCCTCGTGTCAGGATCGCCAGCATAATCAGCATCGGAAAACGCATTGAGATGCATATTTCCAGGTTTATAGAGAAGGCCGTGATCATGTGTAGATTTGACGTAACGAAAGAATCCGTTTCATTGCCGTCCAATGTATGTTAGTTGGAGCATGCATAAACTGGCAAACCTGGTTCACGGCATAAGAAAGATCAGGACGGGTGATGGTTAGATACTGTAGCGCACCGACGATGCTGCGGTAAGTGTGGGGATCAGGATGAGGTTCCCCATTACAGATGCTCAGTTTTTGACCAGCAGGAACTGGAGTAGCAATAGGTTTTAACATCAACAAATTTGGTTCGTTGAAGGAGGTCCAATGCATACTTAGTTTGACTAAGATGCATCTGGTTCTTCACGTAGGAAACTTCAACACCCAGAAAATAATGTAGAGGCCCCAAATCTTTCATCGAAAACATGGTACTGAGCTGTTGAATTAAATGATTCATCTGGCGGGGGTTATTTCCTGTAAGCAAAATATCATCCACATAGATTAATAAAATCAAATAGACCCCACGTTGGTTGAAAACGAACAGTGAGTAATCACAGCTGGATTCCTGAAAACCCAAATGGAGCAAGAAATCCGAGAAACGTTGAAACCATGCTCGCGGTGCTTGCTTCAAACCATACAAGCTCCGTTGTAATTTACACACATGATTAGGATACTGTGGATCGACAAAACCAATGGGCTGCTTCATGTACACGTCCTCCGTTAGGTAACCATGTAAAAAGGCGTTTTGAACATCGAGTTGACGCACTGGCCAATGATGCGAAACTGCCAAACTAAGTACCAACCGAATTGTACTGTGTTTTACCACAGGACTAAACGTTTCGCCATAGTCAACGCCCTCTTTTTGATGAAAACCATTTGCCACTAAGCGTGCTTTGTGGCGTTCTATCGAACCATCAGCGCGGCGTTTAATCTTGTAAACCCACTTGTTGGGAAGCACGTTCATGTTGGGTTTATAAGGAACAAGATTCCACGTCCCACACCGTTGTAAAGCATTGAATTCTTTGACCATAGCAGCTCGCCATTCGTCTTTTTTAACTGCGTGACTGAAACACGTAGGCTCAACAAATTGGTCATTAGTTACCACATGCAATGCATACTTGGGATTAGGTTTACGGATGCCATCCTTAGAACGAGTGGTCATAGAGTGAACTGGTGGTGACTCATGCACAGTCTGCACTGGTTGAACAGAAGCTGGGACGGATTCTTGCTCAGTTGGTAATCCTAAGGGAAGGATAGACGCACTAGGGTTAGGTGGAACAATGGGTATAACCCATTCTCACACCTCCCTTGGAAAAGCGTCTTCTGGGTCTTGAGGTCCTTTATAACAAAAAAAGATGGAAAAATAAGTATATAACAGTGATTATCAAGGGTAAAACGATGGGCAGAAATTAGGCTAGTTGAGGCGGAAGGACAGTGTAAGACATCAGTTAGGTTAAAGGAGCAAGAATCAGTCTTAATTGTAGTCGAACCAGAATGTGCAATAGATAGTCCAGAATCATTACCTACACCTCCAATATTTTCATTACCAGTATACTCCTTGGGATTCACTAGATTATGAAGGTCAGGAGTCACATGAGCATTTGCCCCAGTGTCAAGTAACCAAGACCGATTTTGTTGACGATTAAGTGGGAGTGGAGATGATGCCATAGCACTGAGACGCTGGGCTGGGATACGCCCCTCGTATGCAGCATTCATCCGCTGGTAGCAGTCAAGGGCTGGGTGCCCTTCTCTTCCACAAATCTGGCACGTTATGCGGCCACTACCACATCCAAACCTGTCGGCAGACTGCACACGTTGATTGGTGTTACTATTATTTCCGTTGCGAGGAGCACCCCCTCGCTGGGACAGAGAAAAACCACGATTGGACGGACCACCACCACGGCCCGCGCCTCGAGAACGTCCACCATGTCCTCTTGTAGCGACATATGCAGTCACTGGAGCAGTTTCAACCAAAGGAACAGTCTGCTCCACCATTCTCCTCTCAGTAGTGAGAAGGAGAGCCTCCAAAGTAGGGTACGTGATAGGAGTATCACGTGCTTGCGCAGCATTCACAGTCATTTCAAAAGCCGGTCCCAGATTATTAAGAATAATCTGAACTAACTCATCATCATCAACAGGCTTGCCAGCTAGGGCAAGG